ACATATGAGTGCGTCACCTTCAAAATCTTCTGCCATATTCATCTCCTTTTAGCCTTTATCCGGCATGAGAATTGGGCAATGACTTTTGACATGACCATTCTCTTTGCAGTTCAAACAGGTCACGTCCCTCCTGCTGTTCTGTCCACCTCTCCTTCTCAAATTCAATCTTCTACTTCCCCCACATCCTCTGTTGGACCCCTTCCTATATCTTTATTACTTAGAAGACTATTTGAAGCTTCTCCAACGCTCCATCTACGTACATCCTCTCTAAGGATTAAATCGTGAATGCCTTCAAATGTCATCTTAGCACCCCTAGCCGAGCTGTTAACTGTTGTCATTGTACCGAATCAACTTTCAGGAAAAGATGGTAATGGTAGCAATGCCATGACTTCATCTTCAAATTTAATATCAACCTACATCAACCTTGAAAGGATTGAATTAAATTCATTAACTTTATCAGTCACTAAGCCACCCTTCTTCATCTTCAGATTTACCAATTGCCGAATCAAGTGAACCCTATTCGCAACTAAAGGTTTTTAATACATGTTAGTGTATTGATCAAATCATGAGTAGTCTTCACATTGACAATGTTGTATGCAACATTCTTTGCCAATGATAATCTCACCACACCAAGTGCCTTCCGATCTAACAATTCCCAATCCTCCTGTGTTAGGCGTGTCAAACCCAACAAATAATAGGGGTGTAATTGACTCCAGATACACTGGTTTAATGCACTAAAAAGTAGTACAGGGCAAGCAGGGTCGAACCACAGAGACGCGGGATAAAAGTCTATACCTCTTTGCGCAAGGTACTTTGGTCACAAAGGGGGATTTGTTTGCAAAAAGTCAAATAATGAAAATAACAATCAACTTTGAAACATGCAGAAAATGAAATAAATTTGTAAACAAGTTGTAAAAGTGCTTCCAGTTCTAGTTCTCAATGTTGTCATTTAACCTGATTATGACTTGATGTAATTTGTGATTGCTATTCTAAGTTGGTAATAAAAGATATTAACGCGCTCTAATACCTCTTGCTTGCTAAATTATCTAACCAAAACACGCTCTTTGTCTAGACCTAGTTTTACTAATTCAAACTAAACACGCTCTTAGTTTGTATTGAAAATATGCATTAAGATTTGTACAAGCTTCCCAACAATGTTCATTTCTTCTCATACGCTCGGAAGTGTGAAAACATGTGATATATGTTTTACAATAAGAAAACTTATTGTTTGTTACCAATCATTAACTTTATAGAATGATTAGGTGCCCTAAAAGTTAATTAACTACACAAAAATTCAATTCATGAAAGTGGCCAATCAAACATAAATCAAATTCAAGAATTCTAGTTTGAACGAAAACATAATCACTAGAATAGAATCACAAATCAAACATCAAATCATATGCTTCAAGTCAAGCAATCAACATGTTTTGAACAAGAACTAAAAACTAGGGCTTCTTAGCCACACATGGCTAAGAACAAATCAAACAATTATAAAGATGGAATTAGAATGTTTAATGCTTACAAAAATGAAATCAAAAGTGTTTGTATTGATTAGGCCTTCTCAAAAGCTCCTAAACTTCTCCCAAAATCGCCCAAGATCGCCCCTAGTTGCTCCATAAACCGTCTCCCCTCTAAAAATGACGTCTTCCCTTCTTTTATTAAAGTCCACGTGCTTGCCATAAGGCCATGCGTTTTTAGCATGACAATGCGTTTTGCCCATGTGTTTTTGGCATGACCATTTGTCTTGACCATGTGTTTTTGGCATGACCCATGCTTTTTGCTAAAAGTCCATTAAGTCTTCACTGTTGGCTCCATCTTCAGTCTAGCTTCAACATGAGTCATGTTGCTCTAAATATAAGATGAGAAAGGACAAACACGACCCATGTCGGTATGACATGAGCCGTGCTTCAAACGTAGTCATTTGCTATGATGATAATGCACAATTACTCGGGTTCCGTCTTCTTGTTCTCTTCCATTGCATGACCGGTTCATCTTCTCTTCATGCTCCAAGTTCCATGATGCATGCTCCATAATGCCTGCAAAATAAATCAAAAATAATGAAGTAGCAGACATTCTTAATGAAATATGCAATTGCCCTAATAATTAACTAAATGCAAGAGTTATGAAGTAGAATGCTATGAAAGGACGGAAGTAAACATGCAAAATAGGTGCATAAAATGCACCTATCATCCTGCTTCATTTCTTCATGTTTAGTTTTGTACAATGGTTCATGTAAATTATTTTGGTCTATGTAGTCTTCGATTTGTATTTTCCAGAAACCAAAATCGTGGCCATTGAATTTGTCAATCTCTACTCTACCGTCTTCAGTCATAGCTCTGATACCAATTTGCTGGGTGACAACAAAACAAGTTAAGCACTTCAGAAAAATATCAAAACAAATTTTGGTGAACTTGCGAAAATAAAACTTCTGAAAATGTAAATCAAGTGAACACAATATTTAATGTGGTGAGAGAGAGAGAGAGATAGAGAGAGAGAGAGAGTGTGAGGGAGAGAGAGACAGAGAGAGAGGATTTTATTAACTTTCTGGAACTATTACAAACACTCAAAATTGTATCTCATTTTGAGCTCTCACAGAAATCTAACAATTTACAATGATGGGGGTTATGAGCCTATTTATACTTGAGTGATCAAACCTAAAACCCTAATGGGCCAAGCCCATTGGCCTATAGACCCATGAATGGTGACAACCAATCATATTCTGCCATGCAGCATCTTCTTGTTCATTCTTCCATCTTGAGCATCATAGAGGACTTCATAGCATACTTGGCTCATCAAGGACCAAGATGGTCCATCTTGCGCCATCATGGCGCAACACGAATATGGATGGCACAAGTGGTTTCAAGTGTGGCCCAAGAACATCAAGATTGAAGCAACAACACCACCATGGCGCAACAGGAACATGCATGGTGCAATGAAGCCATGCATGACGCAAGAGCATACCTCATGGCGCAAGAGAGATCCTCATGGCGCAAGAGGAAGCCCTCATGGCGCAAGATGGAGCATTATGGCACAAGAAGGAATGACATGGCGCAAGAGCATCCTTCTTGGCCTATCCCTTTAACATATGGCGCAACAAGGTCTCCTCGTTGCTCCATATCACTCCCAAGTACTCCACATCTCTTCCAGGTGTTCCAAACCTCCTTCTACATGATCCGTTCCTTTGGCACTTGATCCGTTCCTTTGTCAGACGATCCATTCCTTTCTCAGATGATCCATTCCTTTGTCACATGCTCTATGAACCCCCCCCCCCCCCAAGTGCCCCATTGTGATCTAAGTGGTCCATGTTGGAGAAGACTTCATACCTCAACAAGAACTTAGTGATAAGATGTGATACCATGTTTCAAGATTATTCTCCGATTCCCCTTCTCATTCCAACATTATATATATATATATATATATATATATATATATATATATATATATATATATATATATATATATATATATATATATATATATATATATATATATATATATGAAGAGGGACAAATACATGGGTCAAACACTATATAGAAAATACAAATAAATAATAAAACACCAACAAGTACCATTTTCCACTAAGGTGCATGCATGCATATGTTTCCCATGAGACCGAGTCATGCCTACAATAAGATATTACAGATTTTCTAAGACATGCTTCTACGCATTCCTTCGTGGCATTGTCTCTTCAATGGTCTATAGACTATAAACCTGTCCTGATGGCTGCAGCAAACCGTGGGCCTGTTCCGAAATTAATTCTTCCTATTGTTTGGCAAACATTGATTGACAGATCCATAATTCAGCCAGCACAATAAAATTAACAAAATGTAAAATAAAGTAAAACTTAACTTGAAAAAAATACAATGTTACATAATAAGAAACAAATCACGATCTATAACTGTTCACTTTGAATTTTCATCGTTTGGAAATGATTATTTCCGTTGACTCACAAATAGCTGCAGCCAGCTTAGTTTTTCCGCATCATCCCTCTTAGTTCTTATTTGGTTGGATGTGGCGGTGTACTAAATGCATTGGGATAGAGTTTATGCCCCACAATACCAACAATTTCTCTAATAACAGACGTCTCATTATTCCTGGAAAAATGATGTCAATTCTGAATTTAGAAAGTCTCTTGGGGTAGGAGTATATTGCATCAATTTATAATTTCATTTGCAATACTTAATTATGTCCTGTTTGGTTGGATGGAAGGGAATAATGAAATAATGGAATATACAAGGAAATTAAATAAACAAGCTAATGTAATGAATCATTATATTCCATGAACATTTTTAGTACTTGTTATCTAGAAATCGAAAGCATTTTTGTATGAATTCTTTATATTATATGTAAATACAGTATATAACTTTAAATCTATTTTATATATTATTTTAATCATAATTCACAAACATTTATTTAAAATACTATAGATTAAGCATAATAAAAGGTCACTAAACCCCAAATAAGTAAGACTAAAAGTGATGTTTTTTCTTATGTTCAAAATAATAAAAAATTGACATCGATTAAAATGAGAAAAAAAAATTAAAAATAAATGGTATCTAGAAATGTTACATAAAAAGTAAATTATATTGCAATTTTCATTCCATTCCATGATCGTGGAAGAAAAAGAATAAACCTCTTAACAAAGTATTTAAAATTAATAAAATGTAAGGGTGCATTTAGTTGCGGAAAAATGAGCCGTTTTCCAGAAAAATTTTCCAAGAAAAATGAGAATTTTGAAAACACGTTTAGTTTATCTATTTTTTTAAATTTTTCATGGAAAATGAAAATTTTCCATTTTCTAAAACTACAAAGAAGTTGAAATTTTTTGAAAAACCAATAATTATTGTTTTCCACATTTTTCTAATTCCAAAATATTTCTAAAATATAAACACACACTTACTCCTACCTCTACCTACCCCTATCTTAACACCCCAACCCCCACAAACACACACCATTTGATGAAGTGGAGTGGGTGAATACAAGTTTTTGTAACCCTTCTTTCAGCAAATATTTTTTCTACTTACCTTTGCTGGCGAGTCACCAGATTCAGTGACAGCTTTCATCTCCTTCATGTGTAGGCTCATTGATGTGATCTCCACCGACTGTTTAGTTGTATATTTGTCAAATACAGAAAGGGTAAATATCATATACACGGAATGACTGAACCATTTCTCATATCGGCTAAGCTTAATGTTATATTACCTCTGATTCTGAGACACTAGATTCAGATCTAGTGGCAGATTTCATCGTCTCCTTGAGTGAGCTTGATGTGAACTCACTAGTTTCAGCAATAGATGCTTTAGACGTGTCCACATCAGTGTTCGCATGCTGTTGCTTGTAAATTTGTAAGTTGAGGAGAAGGTAAAATTCATATGTGAGACAATACTAAGCTCTTGTCTGTTTAATTATTAGGCTTGATGTAAAATTACCTTTGATGCAGTAGCAGAAATCATTGATGGGATCCCCAGAGTTTTACCAACATGAGATGATTTTGACATCTCTCCAATCTTGTAATTTTGTTCCTGTTTGTTTCGATAAACACATATAATCGAATCTTGGTTTATCATCAAATTAACATCAAAATATTAAAACAAAAATCTACCGATTCAGAAGCACGGACTATGCATTTAACAGTTTTCAATTCTATAAATGACCGATTCAACTGCTGAGGTGTGCCTGTCTTTCTCCATCCTCGTATCTCTGTAACAATGCGTGATATGAGAAATATACTTTGTGGCATAAAATATAATTAAAAACTGGCCAGAATTAGCTTGAAAAGAAGAGCATACCTGTACAGTCAACGGTATCACCAACTAAAATCTTAAACCAATCAGGAGTCAGTCTTCCAACCTCGATAAACTCAAAGAAATCACGGCGACAAAGATAATATGCTCCTGTTCTTAGTTGAAATCCAGAATAATCTCCTCCAAGAATTTTTACCCATTCCATGTCATTTTCCATGGTCTCATTTACTACCTCATCATCATCATGTGTGTACACAAGGCTTACACCACACTCGAGTATCTCCAACCCATTCATCACAGTGGTAGAAACATTAACTCTATCTCCAACTTTCAATGTGTTTCCAATTGGCCAATAGCTTAACCATATACCAACTTCACCAGATGCAGGTTTGCCAAAGACTATGGGATTATACATCAAATCAACACCATTGCTAGTGGTGATTTTAGTGAACCATGCCCAATCCTCACCTGATGTTTTATACTTGAGAATTATGTTTAATCCCTTAAGCCTCCTATCCTTTGGTCCCAAAGGCACATTAAATGACAATGATGTGGATTCTGATATATAATCAGGTGTCATATTAGGATCATTTATGTCTGGTAGAGAAGCGCTCATTATGTTGAATTCATACAATATCTGCACCACACACACAGCACACTTCAGGCATTCATATTTTAATAACTTTGCAGTTTGTATCTTTGTGATGATTTTTAGAGACACTAACAGCAAACCTGGATACACAAACTTCTGCCTTTGGTGAGCTCATCATCTCCAACCAGGCACAGCTCACGATTTTGATGTTCTTTTAGCCATTTCAAATGTCCCAAATCAGTTTCATCAACTTTGACTAGTGGCACTAGTTTAATAAAGCCTTCAATTTCTAACAAATTAAGACAGCCTTCATAGCCGAACTCTTGCAATGTGAATCGACATGATTCGAAAGTTACTCTCTCCAATGACTTACAGTAATATACATACAATTCTGCAAGTGTAGTAGGAAGACATAGAATCCATTTAAGTCTTAAGCACCAAGTCAAGTCAAGGACACGGAGATTTTTAAGATGATTGTACATAGGCAAGAATTCGAATAGTTATTTCCTAGATTCAATGCAAAAACGATTGAATACTGAAACTCAGAGGAGAAGAATCAGTACTCTGAAGGTAGCAGTCATTGAGGAATAACTGCTGCAATGAAGGTGGCAAGGAGAAGGTAGATTGTCCTGTAACTTGTTCATCAGAAGTTGAAACTTTTAGCTCTTTTAATGGATTTGTATTCTGCATCTTCCATGAATTCTTCCACAATTTCTCACACCCTGTCATGTTCAATAGAGCAAGACTATTAAGCAGCCGAATGGTCTCACAAACATGAACCAAACTGTGGCAGTTCCAGAGAATCAGAGTCTCAAGATTAGGGAGTCGGGAAATATTGTGGATTTCGAGTAACTTGTGGGAGTCTTTAAGATTGAGAATCTGCAATGATGGAAGAACCTGTTGAAAAAGTAACAAGAGTTACTTAGCATTGTAAATCCACCAAATGACCATAAAAATAGAGAAGCTAAAAGGACAAGAAATAAGAAGAGGATATATAACTCCCTACCATGGGTAGTTCAAAGACTTCCAGGCAGCTATAGCTCATATCTAAAGCAACCAAGTTCCCCATGAATAAATCAGAAGGTATGGTTCTTAAATGGAATCCAATCCAGCAGAGCCATCTTAGTTGTTCTGAAAAGTTCTCGTAGGATCCAGTTACTTGCACAAATTTGAGCTGGAGCAATTTCAAGTTATCCATGTTTTTAAGCGAATCTGTCATCAGCTCTGTAATCTGCAAAGTTAGCAAAAAAAGAATTAGTATCGTTACCTCATATCTATATAATTAAATGCACCAAACATACCCTAAGGGTCATGATACTATGCTCAAGGTCCTGATTGGCTGTAAAGTGAAAATTACTGAGATAAATTCAGATACATTACGTTCTACATCTCCAGCCTGAAAAAGGTAGCACTATACCGAGTTGAGCTGAGCTCGAAAGTATTGATTACTACATCAAACTCGAGCTTCAATCAAGTTTTAGTGTGGAATCGAGCTCAAGCTTGGTGCCCAATTGACTTGATTACACCCCCCCCCCCCCCCCCCGCCCTCCCAAAAAAAAAAAAAAAAAAAAAAAAGAACAACAAAAAGACAAAAAAACAAAAGACAAATTACAAGAATTATGATGTACTAAGAAAATCTTCATAGTTCTTTCTTTACATATAAAGAAAATGCATCATTTTTAACTAATGTATTACCTTGAATACATTATTCTCTTCCTTTAACATTTGCATGTCAAGTGCCATTCCTTCCATTGTTTCTGAACCCTAAATATAAAAAGGACAAAGCTGTAGAATTTTAGATGAAAAGCAATGCGCGAAAGGCAAAATAAGCTTCAACATTATCTTACGCATCTCACCTTTCCTTTTCTTAACACATCATAGGATTCCGTATTAAGCCACACTCTACTACGTTTTGTAGGGTCTTTCGGAGATTCTTCATTGACTATCGTTTTCCCCATCTCTTGGAGTAACCGATGCATCATTACTTTTTTGTTTGGTGACACAGAAAGAAGGCATCTATTAGTTAGGGTCTTAATCCCAGATAATGCTGAGTAATCATGCTCCAATATCTTTACCACATAATCCAAGTCCGTGCCAATAAAGAAACAAGCAATATGCAAAAACAACTCCTTGTTAGAGTGACGTGGCAATAACTCATAGCTCCTCCTGAGTACACGTTGAATTCCAGAATCAATCTCTCTATCCAATAATTTCAATGTACTTCTCCAGTGAAGGATGTTATCTGTCTTTGGTATGTCTGCACTAACAAATAAAGACGAACCCAACACTTCAAGAGCTAGTGGATTCCCTTCACAATAACGTATTGCTTGTATTGTGAACTTCTCGAATCCTTCCATGGGAATTTTTGATCTAAATGCATGACGACTTAAAAGCTCAAGTGATTCATCGTCATCCAATAATTTCATTTTGTATTTTCGACACCTCAAAGATCTGGGGCCAAGCCATTCTTCTGTATCTAGAACCCTTGTTGTTATAATAATCTTGCTTTGTGTATTAATCATGCTATTCCCAAGTAAAGCTATTAACTGGCCCTGTTCGACAATGTCATCAAGAACAATAAGTGCTTTTTTTGTTTGTAAGGCCTCCTCAATCTTACACATACAATGAGAAACACTAGGTATTTTTCTATTCTTGCCCCCTAAAATGTCTCCCAAAAGTTTTTCCTGTAGCTCACATAAATCACGGGAATTTTTGCATCTACCACCTACGTCTTCAAGGAAACTAATGTTTTCAAAAGTTCGCCAATTTGAATCTATAATGCACTTGGCCAACATTGTCTTCCCACTTCCTCCCATGCCAAAAATTCTTCTTCAGATTGCTTTAGCCAGGAATTGATATCTTTATCACGAGTGTCTATCCCTGTTAGATTTGGTGGAAGACTAACCAATTTGAAATCTAGTTTATTGTGAATTGTATGAACGATATCAGCCAAAAACTTCGTTTCGAGCCTGGAATAATAGAAGGAAAATGACCAAGTTCAGCAAATGTCGTTTAAGATGCAACCAAAGAAAACAGTGGGGGATTAACAAGCATCACATACGTATAATCAACTGATTCATGTTTAAATTCAATCATATTTAATACTTTTGGAGACATAGTAATTCAAACATTACATTAAAAGAGTACGATGATATAGAAGAAAATATAAAAGCTTGATCACGTACAAGAGAAAACGAGGAATGTGAGCAAACAAATTAAGAATATTCAATCCATAAAGAATCATATGTTCCGATCCTAGTAAGAACTATATGACAATGAAAACCAAGAATGTGAGCAAACAAATTAAGCAAACTATATTAGATATGTGGGTATAAACTATCAGCCAAAAATTGTTTTGGAAACTCTAATGTTTTTCATGTGTGTATGATAAACTTCAGGGTTGTACCATTATGCCCTTTCCAGCAGCAGACTTAAATTTCCCCACCTAATATGTAATATTCCATTGTTTTTTCCTTGCTAAAAGAGTAAAAGTTTCACAATTACCATTATATTAGTGTTCCCCGCTTATCTTGCATAATCCTAAACATTAGATGGTATAAAGAGTAGTTGATGAGGTGATTAGGTCAAATATAACTTGAAACAATTATATTAAGAATTTAGAAGAAATTTAGTTGCAACATTAACTTTGTTGTGGGAAAGGGCAGTATCGCAGAGTTCTTTTGATCAAGAGTTCAGTCATATATAATCCCTAAAAGGCAACATATCAGTGTTATAAAAGGAATCTACCGAGTCAAAATTTTGAGCTAAACCAACTTTTTTGCCGGAATTTCACACTACTAACAATAAGAAATAAGAAACAGATTATATATGAATAAGGATGCTCTTTTAGTAACGATTAAATTATAAGTAATAGAGAAAAACATACCCAGAAAGAACCATCACTACTACAAAAATAGTCAAAAGACCCGGTTAAATCAATTAAAGAACCCGGTTTGCAACCGGGTTTGATGTTCGGCGAGTCCTACGCGAAAATACGGTTTTAAACCGGGTCTTTTAATGACAAAAAGAGCCCGGTTCATTATCATATAACTGGGTCATATAACAATTGCGATGCCACTTCCTTACATGGATTATAACCCGGTTTCCATGTAAAAAACCGGGTCTTATAAAAACTCTCAACAATGTTTTCATATGCAAATCAAAGCCCAGTTACTTGATAAACAACTATGTCATTTAGTACACTAATTTATTTAAAAAACATATATATATTTAAAATATAAATACCATTACCAACAAATTATGCAGGTTACAACTAGTATATAATATAGCTACTTTTGAATTCAACAAACAAAAATGTCACCATATTAATTTCTAAATGAATTTTTACATGTTAATATCACTAAGAACCTATCTTACAAAATATCTAAAGATATCTCAATTCTCAAATGTACCCAACAGAGACACCAACTTCTTTTCCATTTCCCACAAATATCAATATGGTTGCATTCATTTGTGCTTCAAGTGTGAACCTCCGATGACATAAACATATAGCCTGCTAAAATTTGAAAAGATGGAGGTGTTGGTCCTGAAAGTCATGAGATACAACAATTATTTCACTAATACGTTAGTATACTCTAAATCAAAGTCCAAAGTATAAATCACTATTTCAAGTTTCACCTAAATATTTCCAATAACATACTACACAAAATTCATAAATAGTTACCTTAAACATAAGAAATGATGCGAGTACTTTTTCCATGATACCAAAGAATTCTCTAATGAATATCAGTTAATTTCCCCTGCACAATATCAAAAGTTTAAAAATCAAAGTCAAACATGCAAATATTCCAACTAATTAGTTATTAAAAAAGATATTAACAACCTACATATCGGCTAAAAAAATTATTCATGGATGTTTTGCATTACCAAAAGCTTATATTACACATCTAGTTTGAATTATTTTGACTGTCATTTCAATGTACCAGTTTCTATCATATCATCCCTAGCTAATTTTGTTGTCACACTCTTTCCAACTCCGGTTTCCAAATTACATAAAACATAAATTCCATTTTACAAAAAAAAATTAATAATAATAAAATAATATAGAAATGACTTTGTACAAACCTGATAAGGATATATATTAACATTTACACCATATGCAAAATATAATAAACTTACTTAGACACCCTTATTTTACTTATCTTAATTCTTTAACATCACAATATCACTTTCAAAGAACTTCTCATCATGTCATTATAAGTAGCATGAGCAATGCCACACACATGGGGCCTATTTAGAATCTTTTCTTTGCAAACCTTGATAACATCACTTCTAGAAAGTAAGACATCTGTGAAGGGATTAATTGCTAATAAAACAGAACCAGTCATCGGTTGTTAACACAACAATGAATGCTATGTTAAAAGAAAATGAAACTACAATGCAATAATAAATAAGTAACTAAAAGAAATGGCAATGAAACATTACCTTATCAGTTGTATTCCCAATATTCCTTTCTTGCAAACTCTTGAGCAATCCCTCTCTCAACAAATTTGAATGGCTTCAATATCATTAGAATAAAAGGTGCTAACAAAAAGGAAAAAAGAATGCAATCTAAGAATACAGAGAAACCAAAAAAACTAAGCAATAAAACTTAGACAAAACCAACAAGCAACAACCAGGATAGGGACTCCAAGAAAACCCCAAAAAATAACAAAGCAAACAACAGGAAAAAAACTAAGTCTTAAACCTTGACAACATCATACCCAGACAGCATGAAAAATACGAACTCAAAAAAAACCAGCGCCCAGAAATCAACAACAACACCATCAATACAACATAAGCAAATAAGGCTCAGAAAGGTAAAAAAACGAACGAGGCACATCGATCAATAAGCAGGGTAGTCGGGGGAAAAATAGTCAAAAACCCAATGCAGCAACACACCAACAGAATAGAGCAAACTCAACAGAAGCCATACACCAAACCCAGGGGTAAAAACGTCAATAACCCCAAAAGAAACATCATCCAACAAGATGCAAACATGGACTGTTAAAAGAACATTCAAGCCATACGACCAAATTAGAACTT